TTTAAGAGAACAAAAACATGATTTTAAATTGATTCATTATTTAAACAAGCATGAAATACTTTGAGCCATTATGGAAAGCTAATCTAATTTTGCCCTTTTTTATTATCTCATTAAATATCATTAATCTAATTTGACYATTTTGYCCTTTTTTTATTATCTCATTAAATGTCATTAATCTAATTTTGGAATCACATTAATTAAGATTCTTTTCAATTTTAACCATTGATATTTAARATGTGTGGTTGAGATTGGTTCTCACAGTTACMACAAAYAACTCAGTTCTCATTTGATTAAGCCCCTATATATATATAGAGGAGCGATCATATGAAAACCGCCCTCATTTGTGTAAACCGTGCAAACCACCTTCATCTGTCGATTTCATTGTTTAATCTTATGAAATTTTTTCATGAAATTGTTTAATCTTGTGAAATTGTTTCATTTAATACTTTTTTGATGAAGTTGTTTCATATATGGTTGTGAAATTGTTTCATATAATACTTAATGAAACTGTTTCATGTATTTCTCTAACAATAATGAAACTGTTTCATGTATTTCTCTAAAATTAAAATAATGAAGATGATAATATCTATGATTAACACCTTCCACAATAAAAATGATTAATCAAACTCTCATAATTACAAAAAAATGAACAAAATGAAAAATTATGATTGGTTGAATGCGGTTTGCACGGTTTGTACAAATTGAATGGTTTGCATTTGATCACTCCCCTATATATTTATATATATATATATATATATATATATATATATTTAATGATAACTGACGTGGAAAATATTATATGGTCACACAGGTTTGACCCAAGTTGATGACGTGGACTCGAGGGTTTCGATCTCCTGCCTTGCCGACTATTTGTACAGAGTTTCAGTGGAATCCACGTCACAAAAGGTTACCTTTCTAAAGGCCCTACTCTAAGATACCTTAAAAACGATAATATAAATAATTATTATTATTTTAGCAACAATATAATAAAAAAATAAAATATTAATTCATGCCCCTATTTATACCTCCTATCCTTAATGTTGCTTAAGCAGGAACCCCTCTAAATCTTCCATACGTACTTCCTTTTTCTCCTCTCTTTTTTTAATAATTGTTTTTATATAAATTTATCGTTTTTTACAGTTTTTAACAGTTCGATTTACGTAACTATTCAAATATTATCGTTTTGCACACATTTAAGTATTTGACTTCTATGTTTTTACGATATTTTCAGCAAACAATGGAGATGAGAGTGATTTTCGAAATTGATCCGTTCGATGGATGTAAAGGTTGCAAGGGCAAGGTTGAAGGGACGATCCGTGAAATGAAACGGAGGCTTGGTGACGATGGCGAGATCAAGTTGTTAGCATGGGGTGATGAGAAGGAGAAATTGACTGTTTTAACGACTGTAAATCCAGATGCGATCGTAGCTGCTCTTAAGTGCAAATTCAAAACCAAAAAAATCACTTGGTCGGAAGATGTCAGCCTTCCAGACCCACACCCACAAAACCAAAATAATAACCTCCCTGGACAACTGGGGCCACCGACTACTCCTCGCCCACCAGGTGGTCCATTGCCACCACTTCCGCCACCAATAAGGCCAACAGCCCCACAATTCCCCACGGACCCCACGTATGGACTAAGTGATCCATTGCTCTTGCCCCCGACACAAACAACGCCAACAGCCCCACCATTCCCCACGGACCSCACRTATGGACTAAGTGATCCATTGCTCTTGCCCCCGCCACAAACAATGCCAACGGCCCCATCATTCTATGACTGGACTCGTAACCCGTTTCTTTAGGACTTGAAGGAAGAGTCATGCACCGGTATTTTCATTTGGTATAATTTATATGTCATTGGTGTTGTATGTAATGAAGCTCGGTTCTTTTGGCTTGTTTTCGTATCGTCCATGTCAACAGTAATGTGTAATAAAAAGTGAATTGGGGTTAGGCTTGTTAACCCTTTGTTGTGTGATCTCTCCTTTTTTAAGTTGAATCGTATTTCCTCTAGTTTTTTATCCTTTTATTATTATTTTTCTTTCTGAGAGTTTTCAGGTGGGTTTGAAGACCTCCAAACTCGCTTTGCTCACTGTTGTGCTGATACACCCTCAGCTCCTTTGTTGACTTCATATGTTAACTTTGGTAAATATTACTTCTTCTGCATGGCTATTGGATTCCATGGACCATGCATCACACGTAATACATATACATGTATATATATATATATATAGATGGTTTATTATACAACCCTTATATTTGTATAATCAACACAATCCAATCTTAACCGTCTATTTAATTTGATTAATATGTAATTTCATAAAAATTTTGATTGTTTCCTAATGTAAAATATTGATCATAGATGAACCTTATTCATCTTCCATAAATATTTAAATCATAATAAATGAACTCTTATCATTTCCATAAATATTTCAATTTATTAAGTTGAATTGGTTGTACAAATACGATGAATAGCATTTGAAACAAACTATATATATATATATATATAATATTACACCATCTAATCCAATTATAATTGATGGATTAAATTTGATGCATAATTTTAATTGAATTGTATCAGACTAAATATAAAATTAACGGTTTAATTGTTGTATGACCATTCAAAATCTAATAAAACTGATTCGATAAAATCCAAATTAAAATTTAACCTTCTTATTTGTTTTATTTTCTAAATTAAATGCTGATAATTTTATTAAATTAATATATGAAAATCTTCATCGTACTGTCCAGTAGGCTGTTTGGTCTGGAGGACCCACGATGACGGGTGACATCTCATCCAACGTGGTAAAGCACAAACCGGTTCAAAGCTGTGTGAAATCAGCCAAATCAGCCAATCAGCACAAATCGGATAATCATTTATAGTGGGTCCTACTTTTAATAAAAACATACCAAATACATCTAAAGAAAATTAATAATACAAGAAGATTAAATGTTGTTTGAGATTGCTTATTTGAAACAATTTATTATTTTTTATAAAAATACTTATCAATTTATTATAAGTTAAAAGGGTTTAACTTCTTAAAAAATTATTTATTACCAGTTTGACATCGATATAAGTTGTTTATCCAAACACTCAAAAATGCTTATTACCAATACCACACCTTAATACACTCAAATGTATTGTTATCTTAATGTTTTTCATTGTAACTATTTTTTGTTATTGTATTTTAATCCCAAATAACAATTTTATCAATTCAATGTTAACCGAACCTTTTTTTGAAACCCAGAAATTGTGATAATTTTGAGAGTTAATGAATCATGTGTTATTTTATATGATTTTTTTTCTTGTTTTATAATGAATTCGTTTCACAATATGGATTTTTTTTTAAACATTTTTAAAATAAAATGTCGTATTAGTTATTTTGTATAACATTTTTGAGAAATGTCTTAAAAAAACAAATTTTTTATAAGACATTTTTTCTGATAATGTGTTATATAATTGTTAATACAACATTTTATTTAAAAATATTTGAACTTATTAGAACATACTAATAGGAATGTATTTATTACCGATACCACACCAAAATACCCTCAAATGTATTGTTATATTTATGTTTTTCATTGTAACTATTTTTTGTAATTGTATTTTAATCCCAGATAACAATTTTATCAGTTCAATGTTAATCGAACCTTTTTTTGAAAACCCAAAAACTATGATAATTTTGAGAGTTAATGAATCATGTGTTATTTTGTATGATTTTTTTTCTTGTTTTATAATGAATTCGTTTCATAATGTGGATCTTTTTAAAAACATTCTTAAAATAAAATGTCGTGTTGGTTATTTTGTATAACACTTTTGAGAATTGTCTTATAAAAGCAATTTTTTTTTACAAGACATTATTTCAGATAATGTTTTATATAATTGTTAATACAACACTTTATTTAAAAACGTCTGAACTTATTAAAACATGTTATAAATCTATTGTAACACTTTTAAACTTAATATAATTGCCAACTACCTCCTTTTATGGACCCCCAAACTTATACTCCCATGTTGATCGACATAAGACTCTCAACAACAAAAAGTTAAAAGTTAGATATCAAGGCATTTGATTGTTTAAAAAAAGACCAACTCAACTGTTCCATTAAAGTTATAAATATTATATATATATATATATATATATATATATAGTAGAAGCGTACTCGCACAATGCAGTAGATACATCGTGATTTTAATATTTAATTTTATTTTTTATCTCAGTCGATATTATAATACGACTTTATGTGATTTTGAGAAAGTGATGATATTTTTATTTTTAAATAAAATATATGTTTGAAGATATCATAAAAATTTGACAAAAATATATCGATATTAGTATCAAATTAACTATTTGAAATTCTTCATTTTTTGTGTA